ATGTATAAATGTATACTACAACGTTTCTGCAATCGAGTGTGTGTGTGTATATATATATATATATAGCCATTTGCAAAAATTATGGCCGTCCGTTTCAAATATATAATATATACGAGTATATCAAAAGTATATCAGACACGGCGGGATATGTTTCTTGATATTTTTTCCAGAAAGCCCTAGTGATTGAAAACTCGAAAAATATGTTAGGAATGATGTCCCATAATTTTTGATATGCTTTTGATATACTTGTATATATATCGGAAGCGGCCATATTTTTTGCAAATGGCTGTATACACTTGATTGCAAAAAGGTTGTAGTATACATTTATACATTTATACAAATATCTAATGATATGCATAATGCAAAATAACCATTTTCAACGCTCAAAAACTCATGAATAATTAATGAGGATCTGAACCAATTGGAGCGACCATACACGTCACGTGCATGGACTTTTAAACCCCAAAAAGTCCTCTTCGTTAGTATTCTTTATATAAAGAATACTAATGAGGATGACTCTTTATATAAATACCCTGACTAGTGCCCCTGTCTTGAGTTCGGCATGTTGTCTTCAACTTGTGGGAGCCATTTTTGCACTTACTGCGCATGGCAGTGACGTACAAACCTCACTGCGCATGAAATTGCTGTACAAACGACTATCAAAGTATATAAGTCAATGTTTGCGAGGTATATGGTTGCTCTACTTCAACTGAAAGGTTTGTGAATTATACTTAAAGTTTTTGAAGCCGTTTAATAAACTCGCAGATCGTGTTTTATCGGGTCTAAAACCACTCGGCTACGCCTCGTGGTTTTAAACCCGATAAAACACTCCTGCTCGTTTATTAAACAGTACTTAAAACCAACTGATTTATAATCTATACGATCTAATAAACAAGAAAAAATATTTTGACAGTCATTGAATTAAACAATAAATAAGTAAAGCGATTTTTCTGTTTTGCATATCGATTAAATATGATACGCAAACGCAAACGTTTCTGCAATCGAGTTTGTGTGTATATATGTATATATACAATGACACCATAAGCCTGATGTATAACTTTACACATTGGCAAGTTGCATACATCACTGCCTTTTACTGCAGCTGTGCTTCCCTTGTGTTTTGGATATTAGAGAGCTTTAGATTTACGTTCACGGCAAACGTGTAACGTCAGATGACCAGTAAAAAATTCTTTTAAATGACTGAAAAAGAATCGCAAAAAAGTCCAAGTAGCAGAAAAACAAAAGAGTATTTGCGCTTGGTGAGAAGGTTTGTAAATAGTAAAGTAAAATACAGGAAAACGATGAAAACGTGGTCACGTTTGCCGTTTGCGGGGAGGAAAAAAAGTCAATCTAAAACTCTCTATTGACAAGTCTTCCTCGCTTGCCAATATTTTCCAAGGCTATATCGGTGTTTTGGGCCAATCAACAATTCCTGTACTTTTGATGTCTCTTTCAAATTGAAAAAACCTACTCGCGCAAGGAATAAGTTCTTATTCTATTAGCTTCTCGTGTGATAAGTGAATAGAGACCCTGAAATTAATTTCGCAATGGGGTCTGTGCGCTCAGAAAGGCTTACATGTTCTGTCAAACACCGTGAATCACCACAGTTTTCCAAATAAGATAAGAAACAGGACATTTTCCATCTTACATCTTTAATGTCAGCGCAAAATTTACCAATTGTGAAATGTGCTAGACAGGTATTTATCGTAAAAGAATGATAAAAGAAAACCATTTCAGTGTCTCGAACTTCTACTTTTCCAGTGACTTCCATTTGGTATAGCATATTTCACTTAACAGATAATGTTCAGAAAACATCGGAAAAAAAATCAAATTTAATAATTCTACCTGTTCTTAAGTCAGTTACAACTACAGGAGTTATTGACAAAAACAATGTGTTTAAACCATCACGCGGTTTTTTCTAACTTTTTCTTAATACACTAGTAAGTTCAGCCTGGACTCCTGACATAAAAGCAGATAGATAAAATCTAGGTCCCAGATTTTTAGTCGGCTTACAAAAGTATATACCTGTGTTACGGAGTACAGAGGGCTATACATAATGAAAATTCTGTTAAGTTTGGTTAATTTTTCTAACTTCCCGTGTAGTTTCCGAAACATATCTATTTATATCGTGTGAACAACAATATAATTATTGAATGCTGAACGTTATTACAAAGACAAAGCGCTAAATAATGATGATACATAGAGTCCTTATTGAAATTATACATCATAAAAAATATTATAACTCCTTATTTCACTGGCTTGAATTCAATAGCTCACTGTATCGTAGAGAAATAAAAAGCGCAAGATATTTTTATATATCCTTGCTGTTGAGTCTTTCTTTAGTGGGATCCAATCGACAGATTGCATTAAATTGCACTCCACTCAGTTCAATTACCATTATTAATATATCAAGCATATGCTAATGTATTGCTTCTATTTAATTTTTATAGATGACTTGCAGTGTTAAGCTGGTTGCTTCTCTATTAGTTTTTCTTGGTGCTTGTCGTTTTAACAAAGGTATGGGCATTAAAGATTATGTTGCTATTTCTTAGTTTTCTTCTTATCTTGAGTTAGCTTAACGCCATCCCTAATATCATTAGGTCCAAACCAGATCATTCTGTGTCGTTTCCCTATCATTTTTAAAATCAATTAAATTGATTTTCTTCAGTTGCAGGTTTAAAAATAACGACACCTCAATCATGTGGAAATGAATTCACTTTGAGTGACTCTCAGTTGTCTGCTTCATCCGAATGGAACAAGAGTCACGGAGCTGCAAACGCCAAGCTACATCACCAAGGCGTTGGAGGAAGAACTGAAGCTTGGTCTACACGCCATAACAACGTCAATCAATGGCTTCAAGTCGATTTGAGAAATATCTCCAAGGTAACAAGAGTCACTACTCAAGGAAGAGCGGATGCGAATCAGTGGGTCAAAAATTACTCAATCGAATACAGTCTTTTTGGATCGCATTTTGTTTCTTACAAAGTCGGCGGCATTGAGAAAGTAAGTGCTCTACCAGAACAACTAACGTAACGTCGTTTCCGCCGATTTTACAGTCAGATTTACAATTGCAAATCATTTTTTCTCGAAAGGTGTTTAAAGGAAATGAAGATCAAGACACTGAAAAGAGCTACAAACTTTCCAATCCAATTATTGCACGATATATTCGTATAAGTCCAAAGTCATGGAATGGTCATATATCGATGAGGGTTSCATTTTATGGATGCACTTCAGGTAAGAAACCTCTTTCCAATTAGTCTCATAGGAAAATTCAAGGTTCTTTCCTTTTTTATTCTTCCCTTGACTCTGAAGATGACTTCCGCTCAGGTTGTCGAAACGTCAATCAAACCAAACAGTCCTTCTCAGGACTACATCCACCCGGATGATCATATTACTTCGATTAATATTCATTCACCTGGGTTCAGACCGTTCTATACAAAACATTTTATTTAACTATTTATGTTACTATAAATATTATTTAATATTTTTTTGATAAAAAAATTTCTATATGTAAAACCAAGAGACCATGAAGGACAGAGAGGGACTCTCGCGCTATTCTTGGAATATCAGAATTCCCGAAAAGTTATTTTTAGATCGTGCGTACTCTTTAGGGAACGCTCTTTCGTTTCAATTTTAAAGTGAAACTCAAAACCTTGTATCTGAAAATCTATTTAATAACGTGTAGAAAGATACTATTTTTACGGATATGCAAAGGAAGGAGGTCATTTTTGATGAATTAAAATTAATTAGTGATAATAAAATGTCAGGTTTCTTTAATGCCCAATTTGATTCCGAGTCCCAGACTAAGCGAATTACAACTTCAAACGAGTTTCAAGTGCAAAAATAGTGCTTCCAGCGCTATAAGTGACGGCAAAATTGAAAACTGATTTCAAAAATTTGTACCGACCGGCAAAAGAAAAAAGGGRAAAACTGGCAGACTCAAGGTATAAGGCGCTTGTCACCTAGCGGGTTCAACTGATTAAAATCAAGTAATCCGTGTTTTCATAAAATTCAACCATATTATTAATCACAGCATTCATTTGTTATTTCTAACCGGTAAAATGAAARGTTTTGTAAGTGTTATTCAAATTTTAGGCGCTGTTTGGTCAATGGCTGACCTCAGATTAAAAAATTGCAGATAAAAAAATATCAGCCTCTTCAGACGATAATTGAGCCCCTTCGGAGGATAATTCAGCCCCATAATGGGATTGATAGTATCTACTTAATATTTATACCAAATTATAGTACTTTGCAATGTTGTATTTTATATGTAGACGCTATTGTCATCAGGTTGTGAAATTAACTCTGTCACGCGTATAAACTATCATATAAATAAACAAAGCATATTTTCATATTTTCATATTTTCAACTTATACCTGTTAATCGCCAAAACAGAATCACATATGAAGTAAAGAGACCTCAAGGGAAAATTGGTCTAAGTCTGGGAGAACATTGTGGCTTTTTCATCGAGAAAACGAGGAAAACTTTACTCAAAATACTACCGCCATTTTGTTTCAGTCACGCAACAGTTGCACAAAATGAATCGGCATATAACACAGGAGGCCCAAATTAATCAATATCAACATTTAATAAAAACCTATACTGAACCTTTATAGTACTATTACTTTCAACATTTATATTTTTTTCAGCAACACCATACAATGGTATTGTATGACCGTGAATCTTAGAGCCTGGACACTAGCAAATCGAGCATTCTGATTGGATAGATCGCATCGCAGACTGGTCTAGATTCTCCGGTATTAACCGGTCCGATCGCATATTAATCTTACGGCGAAAACTCTTTGTCCTTTTCAATGAAAAGTGGTCATATAATAAAACTCTTATCAACCGAGCTTGGTCGGTCTGTACGGGATAATCTTGACCTCGGTCGGGTACAGACCTCAGTCAAGATTATCCCGTACAGACCTCCCGCTCGGTTAATAAGATCTAAGTATTGTCGTCTCAGAATTACCGCGCGCCATTGGCTCATAGCATTTGATTGACGGCGAAAATAGCACTTCTTTGGTATCGACGTTTGTTTTCTGAATGCAATGATTCTCTGAAAGAAAAATATCGTACAAAATTAGCTTTCTTTCAAACTTCGAAAAAAAATTGATTTATTAAAGCTTACAAACCAGTTATTCTTCTATTGAAGATTTGTGTTTCTAATTAGAATGATAAATTTCAATCCAGAACATTTCAAAAACAATCATAATAACCTCAGTCTTTTTTCAAATAAACTTATTACTTCGGTTTCGTAAACTCGAAAATCTCAAACTTGCTTGAGCTTGGCAAGCAAATTTCCAAAGCATTAGGATGTAAAGAATGAAGTATAAAAACAAAAACATACCTGTAAACTGTTCACGCAATAAAATTACCTTAAACTCCATCTTATTTTTTCGTATTGAAAGTCGGGAATTTTGATGAAAACAAAGTTTTCAAAAACGCCGATCGATCATTTCCAGAAACCGTTACTAGGGACACAACTGTTACGTAGTGAGAATCTGAAGCAAATCAGCATCACTTCCCGTGCTTTTTCCTTTCTTTCTTTCTTTATTTTTGAACTGAAAGAAAGTAGAATCGCGATACAAAACTAATTGCGATTTTGAGACGGCAACACCACAAAATATTGACGGCGTTGAAAGAAAAAATATTGCGTATTGGGCTCCGTCGATTCGCTACTCCGCCCAATACGGAATATATTTTCTCCCAAGTAGCCGTCAAAATTTTGTGATATTGCCGTCGCATATATTATGAATGAACTATTTCTCATGATCCCTTTGCAAGGCATTGACCTTCCAACACCAAGCTGTGGAGAACCTCTTGGTCTCCAATCCAATGCCATAAGTGATTCCCAAATGACAGCTTCCTCTGAATGGGACGTTGGTCACCGGGCAGCCAATGCCAGACTTAATTACCATGCTGGTGCAGGGAGAACAGGAGCTTGGTCTGCTCGCTACAACAATGCTGATCAATGGCTACAAGTGGATTTCAAAACTATGACCAAAATCACGAAGATTGCAACCCAAGGCCGCCAAGACTCTTATGACCAGTGGTTGACCAGTTACACAATTTCTTACAGTATGGATGGTGTATTTTGGAAGGAGTACCCTGAGGTAGGTCGACAGTGTAAAGTAAAATCTTGTATACTCTGGCATCCTATTGAAATTAATTTCTAAAAAAGTAACTGCATGTAGAGGCATGTTTAATTAAGTAATATTTGATTTCAATTGATGTTAATGATATATGCATTACAGATAAGTTTACATTTGCAGTCTAAACAAAACCTTTCTTACTCAAGGTGTTTTCTGGTAATTCGGATCGGGGAACGATTGTCAGACATAAGTTTCAACAAGAGATGTACGCTCGATTTCTTCGCATTCATCCACGAACATGGCACGAACACATCTCTTTAAGAGCCGAGGTATATGGATGTACTTCAGGTAAAAAAAAACCAAATGAATGGTGAACTTTTATAAAAGAAACACGACAGCATTTTTTAAATCTTTCTTAATGATCTAGGTTTTCAGATTCCTTCTGGCTTATTCACATGCGTGAATCCACTTGGAATGCAGAACAAAACTATCCCTGATTCTCGTATCACAGCCTCTTCCATGTGGGATGGGAACCATTCACCTGCAAGGGCTAGGCTAGGGACTATTAGAGTTGGCCAATACAGAGGTGCATGGTCAGCAAGTACTAACGATTTAGGACAATGGATTCAAGTCGATTTCATTCGAGCTACCAAAGTAACACGCATAGCCACCCAAGGTCGTGAGGATGTTGACCAGTGGGTGTCATCTTATGCACTGCAATTCAGCCTTGATGGTGGATATTTTGAGAACTACAAAAAGGGTCGGCTACTAAGAGGGAACATCGACAGAAATAGCATTGTGGGAAATGTTCTTGATCCAGCCATTATTGGACGATACATCAGGATACGTCCGAAGTCTTGGTATGAACACATCTCCTTAAGGTTTGAACTRTATGGATGCAAGAAAGGTGAGTGTCATTTAAAGAATCAATTGCTATTTGCTCTTTATACATAGCAGACGTACGCATTTAGTAATATCGTTAATATTTTTTTACTTCTACTGAATGATTTTTCAGGTTTTGACCTTCCAACACCTTGTTGTGGAGAACCTCTTGGTCTCCAGTCCAATGCCATAAGTGATTCCCAAATGACAGCTTCCTCTGAATGGGACGTTGGTCACCGGGCGGCCAATGCCAGACTTAATTACCATGCTGGTGCAGGGAGAACAGGAGCTTGGTCTGCTCTCTACAACAATGCTGATCAACGGCTACAAGTGGATTTCATAACTATGACCAAAATCACGAAAATTGCAACTCAAGGCCGACAAGACTCTGACCAGTGGTTGACCAGTTACACAATTTCATACAGTATGGATGGTGTRTTTTGGAAGGAGTACCCTGAGGTAGGTTGACAGTGCAAAGTAAAATCTTTTATATACTGGTACCATATTAAATTAAGTTCTAAAAAAGTAACTGCATGTAGAGGCATGTTTAATTAAGTAATATTTGATTTCAATTGATGTTAATGATATATGCTTTACAGATAAGTTTACATTTGCAGTCAAAAACTTTCTTACTCAAGGTGTTTTCTGGTAATTCGGATCGGGGAACGATTGTCAGACATAAGTTTCAACAAGAGATATACGCTCGATTTCTTCGCATTCATCCACGAACATGGCACGAACACATCTCTTTGAGAACCGAGGTCTATGGATGCACTTCAGGTAAAGAAAAGCCAAACTGAATGATGACCGTTTATAGAGGTCCATTTACACGGAAAAACTTCCCCCTACAACTGTCGCACGCATCACAATGACGCCAGCATTACGATAAGAATTGCTCCGTGTAAATTAACCGTACAACTATCTTACGACTGTTTCATGCAACATGGAAATAGCTTTAGCCCTTTGAAACATGTTTTAAAATCGTACGACAATCTTGTGGAAAAGCGTACCAAACTTTGGCTTCTTGTGCAAAAAATAGAAAATGAAAAAATAATAAATGAATAACAAAACGAACCCGAGTGGGGAGGGCAGCGGGTTTTTTCGACAAGGCGGATATAAAAATTGCGAAAAAGATGAAGAAATAGGTTACTGCCATTAAAGATTTTACTTTTAAAGAGACAGAGAAACTCATACGCTTGTGGGGAAATTAAGAAGTTCTACATAATTGCCGCAATACAGATTATTTCATGAAGGATGCGTGATCAGCGGCCCTTCATCATATTTTAGACGAACTAGAGAAGGAAGGTTAGCTAATTTTGCTGATCTTCAACTATTAATTCTTGTAAAAGTTTTCCATAAACCCCTTACTTGTTCTTCGATTCAACCACTCTTTTTCCCAGACAGATTTTGCACGTCCCTTACGTTTTTTTCACCTCAGAAGGATTGATACAAAGCTTAATTAAAGCCGCAACTCGTCTATTGTCCGTCCCCCAGTCTCTCATGTGGCAAACCCAGAGAATTGCAAACGAATTTATGGTGTCGTATGCTAAAAGTTCCGCGCGTGTAAATAGCCGCTAAAACATGTCCTGACTCTGTTGCGTGCGAGAGTTGTAGAGAAAAGTTATTCCGCATAAATGGGCCTTTAGAGAAACACGACAGAATCATTTTTTATCTTTCTTAATGATCTAGGTTTTCAGATTCCTTCTGGCTTAGTCACATGCGTGAATCCACTTGGAATGCAGAACGAAACTATCCCTGATTCTCGTATCACAGCCTCTTCCATGTGGGATGGGAACCATTCACCTGCAAGGGCCAGACTAGGGACTATTAGAGTTGGCCAATACAGAGGTGCATGGTCAGCAAGTACTAACGATTTAGTACAGTGGATTCAAGTCCATTTCACTCGAGCTACCAAGGTAACGCGCATAGCCACCCAAGGCCGTGAGGATGTTGACCAGTGGGTGTTATCTTATGCTGTTCAATATAGCCTTGATGGTGGATATTTTGAAGACTACAACAAGGGTCAGGTACTAAGAGGGAACATCGACAGAAATAGCATTGTGGGAAATATTCTTGATCCAGCCATTATTGGACGGTACATCAGGATACGTCCGAAGTCTTGGTATGGACACATCTCCTTAAGGTTTGAACTATATGGATGCAAGAAAGGTGAGTGTCAGTGAAGAATCATATGATATTTGCTCTTTATACATAGCAGACGTATGTATTTAGTTATATCGTTAATAATTTTTTTTAACTGCATAATTTTTCAGGTTTTGATCTTCCAACACCATGTTGTGGAGAACCTCTTGGTCTCCAATCCAATGCCATAAGTGATTCCCAAATGACAGCTTCCTCTGAATGGGACGTTGGTCATCGGGCAGCCAATGCCAGACTTAATTACCATGCTGGTGCAGGGAGAACAGGAGCTTGGTCTGCTCTCTACAACAATGCTGATCAATGGCTACAAGTGGATTTCATAACTATGACCAAAATCACGAAGATTGCAACCCAAGGCCGCCAAGACTCTTATGACCAGTGGTTGACCAGTTACACAATTTCATACAGTATGGATGGTGTATTTTGGAAGGAGCACCCAGAGGTAGGTCGACAGTGCAAAGTAAATTCGTGTATATACTGGTTCCATATTAAATTAAGTTCTAAAACAGTGTAGGCCGGTGTTACCTGGTTGGGAATGTTTACTAGTATCCGAGTCTCTGAGGAAATAAGTTGCAAAAAGGCATAGTGTTTATGCCATACTTGTGTCAATTCCGGTCCTGATTTTGGCATACGTAATTAGGCTATCGCGACGGGAATTTTATTACTCGCATTAAAATCGAAATTCTTCATTTAAATCGTAAATACAGACTAATATTTGATTACGACCTCTCTCAGAATTGCTTTATTTTTTATGCTCGTATAATTTTTTTTTTTTTTTAAATAAATCGCCATTTTTTTAAAAGAAAATTAAAGGGGATCATAACGCTTCGAACGGCAAAGATCAAACCCTGGAACGTGCTTAGATAGCAAATTATTTATTTTACTTCTTTAATGAAATGGAGTCTTAAGATGAATATTGCTTTGTACCTCATGTTCCTTTGGTAGTAGACTTTTAAGCCAAGACAGTTAATACAAGTATATAAATATAACTATAAGAATATCAATATTGTCAAGTTCAAGCTAATAACAAGTCATGTTGAATGAATTTGTTTACTATCGCTTATCGTAAATCTGGTTCTTGAGACCCTCTTTTCCTTACCGATCTTCGCATGTTCGTGCAGAGAATGTCGCTATGGCAGATGGACGTGCTTAACACGCTCCTCCTAAAAATCGACGTTAAGTAGCCTTTATGGCGTCTTTGGAAGAGTTAAAGGAGCTACTGAATACTGAATATCACCAATTAACACTGCATTAAAGAAATTAACGGGAACTTTCGATGAGTTGAACCAAAAGCTCAAATTTTTATCAGCGATATATGATGACTGGTTGACCCAAGTCAAATCCGTAAATGAGAAGATAATTAACCACAGTTCGAGCATCAAGTACACGATGAATCATATGCAAAATGTTGAAAAATCAAATAGAAGAACTGGCACAGAACCTTCGAAGAGACTGTTTGGAAATATCTGGGATTGAAGTAACAAGAGATCGTACCGCTGAGGCTATTGTTAAATCGTTTTAATCACACATACTTTACCTTCCTATAACGAAAAGGCTCCGCCGAAAATCATCGTCAAATTCACTCAAAGAGAAGTTAGATTCTACTTGAAACGCAAGACCCTTGCAAAGAAGAGGACTAAAGACCTTCCAGATCTCGATTTAAGCTCTGACCACCACGTATTCATATCTGATTTCTTAACTCGATACAGGAAAAAGCTCTTTGGGGACGTTAACAATCTGACAAAAACGATGCCTTTGGAAATTTATTTGAACCTACGATGGAAAAATCATTCTGAAGCAGGGAGAGGGAACACCAACTTATATTTTTGATACCGAAGAAGACCTCGAAAATTGTTGAGTAGAGATACACATGCATACAGTACCTGACATCGTCCAAGTCTGTGTTATGGGACGACCGCTCTCGGTACAAGCTCCGGGATCTTTATTCTACTTTCTGACTTAAACTAATTGCATGAGCTCTATTTATGATAATTCTATGACAGGTGTCAGTCTATTATCAATGTGACAATATCGCTGAATCATGATTGGCAAAAAGAAATAGTAAATTTCTAAGTGCGATATCTTATTAACGAGCAACACGAGTGTAAATAAGGAATCAATGATAATTAATTCATAAGTAGAGAAAAACCATTTGTGGCTCAGTGAACACCAGAAAGTCGGACATAAGATGGAAATAGGTAAACAATAAGGAACCGAAAATGTCAAAGTGTAAATAAGGAATCAAGGATAAGTAATCTATAAGTAGGGAAAAACCATTTGCGGCTCAGTGAACGCCAGAGAGAGTCTAGATAATTATTATGCTTGCATTTGACTAGCCAATGAGAATCGTTGTGTGGGATGTCAGTCAAGCTTCTGAATGACGTCATCTCATTAAGTTTATCTGGCGGAGAGCTCGGGTACCTACCTACCCCAAACCCAAAATTAATGCAACTTAAAAAATCATAAAATCCTGAAATTAAAGCTAGAAAAGAAGAAAACGAACACAAAGATAGACCTACATGATAGAAATGATATCCAGATGAAAATTGCCCTACCCCTCCCTTTTTCTGGTTACCATGGCAACCAGCACCTAGCGAAATCAAAGGATAGCGCCTTTTGTGCTTCTTCCATTTTCTCAAAAATTTCCATAAAAACCGTAGGTAAACACTAATATCTACTTATATGTGAAGTTTGCTTTCTAAAAAATATATTTTTCGAATAAATATCCAATTTCAAAGCAAACGGGAATTGTCCCATCGCGCAATCGGGGAAAAAAAATTCTAAAACTGATTTAAAGATTTTAATGGGAAATTTAYTGCCATCATATCATTCTTCGTGTGCTAAAACATTCGCTCTGAAACCGAATGCACTTTGTTTTTGGTTTGTAAAAGTTATAGTCAAAAATGTCACTAAGGGACATTTCCCGTTTTCATGTCTCCGAGGGCCTTCGGCAGAAAAACGCAAATAATTCTTAAAATCCTTGCTCCAACACGCTGATACTTTCGGCAGAGCATGAAAGAGACCTAACCCTTGGAAAAGAGGCAAAAGAATTATCATATTTATCGAATTAACCAGTTTATGGAGTTTCAACTTTTTTTACTTCATTTGAAAACTTAGGGTTTGCATCAGGTCTTGTGAAAGTGTTAGACATCATCATGACTTTCTCCAAAATCTTGTTGGGAAATGTCCCGTGGCTTAAATTAACTGTATAACCCATTGTATTGGGTGGAAAAGAGCTGGACTAGGTCTAGATTAATCCTGTAAAGTTTCGGGAATTTTCGATAAAAATTCGAATTTTATCCCACACTTCGGGAAGAATCCCCTCAGACGCGCGTTTTCGAAGAAAAATCGTATTTCCCGATGGACAAAAAAAATTAAGAATAGACAAGATGCCCGAGATTAAGAGGCAGCTTTTGGTGTAATTCCATGAAAGGAGGGGGGGATGCAAGCGGAAATAGCCATAATTCCGGAAAGAGAAAAAAATCGTTTCATTTGTTTTAAATTCTTATTCACTGCTTGGATGCTTAGTCAAACCTCAAAACTATGGTAGTTTTTATCGCGTATCTTTTCACTTCTGTGTACCTGGATAAAAGAAATGGTCGTTATTAAACTTTTCCAGTTCATAACTGAAAATACCTTATGAATCATCTAAGCAAATTTAAAGGATATCACAAATTTAATTTTGACCGTTCGTAGCTCGTTATATTTATTTACTATTATATTATTTGCTATCATTTATCATGAAGGAAGACCCAAGACTCAGAAAATGATGTAAACGTATCATTCTCACATTTCTATAAAAAAAACTCAACAAAATAGTCAACAAACATGCACTAATGAAACAACTATCTCGTCGAAAATTAAAAATTATCTCAAAACCCTGGATCACGAAGGGGTTAAGAGTAAGAAACACAGCTATCTTTTGAATGGCAATAGAGATCAATATAAAATATATAGAAATAAACTAGCATATCTCATTCGATTAAGTAAAAAAAATTTTTTTAGCTACTTCCAATCAAATATAAATAAGTTCCAAAAGAAATTTGGAAGGGAATTAATGAAATTGTCGCAAGGAAGAAAAACAAGAAAAACACCATAAATTGCATGAAAAGAAATGGCAGTAATACTAATATCACATCAAATCCAAGTGAAATAAGTAATATCATGAATAAATATTTTTCTGAAGTGGGGCCCGACTTGGCAAGAAGTATACCATTAACAGATAAGTCAGTCTTGAACTATCTCGATGAGCCTGTTACTAATGCATTCTGTTTTTTACCTGTTATCCAAAAGGAAATTCAAGACRAAATCATCGCGCTACCTAATAACAAAGCATCCGGTCTGTACTCGTGCCCAGTAAAGCTCGTAAAAATAAGATACAACTTGTTATGTGAGCCATTATCCATGATTCTTAATAAATCAATCGAAACTGGAACGCATCCTGATAAATTGAAAATTGCTATGATAATTCCTATTCATAAATCAGATGATGAGATGAACCCGGAAAACTACCGTTCAATTTCTCTACTATCTATTTTAATCGCATATTTGAAAAAGTAATGTACAATCGGCTTATCAATTTTATTGACAAATATAGCTTATGACAACATGACTGGTTTGAATCATAGTTATCTAACCGTAAACACATTGTGTATATCAAGGAATCAATTTCAGATTATGAAAAAACATCTTGTGGAGTTCCATGAGAGTCAGTTTTGGGACCACTACTGTTTCTCATTTATATAAATGACATTCAGAACTGTAGTGAAATCTTTCTTTTCGTTTCACTTAATTGCTAATGATACAAGTCTGTTATGTGAACATAAAAACCTAAAGGAACTACAAGCTAACTTCGTAATTTTCAGACCTATAGGCAAAAAATACTTCCATTTATTCCTTCCATCTATCTTCCAGATAACTTTTAAAACAAACTTGAAAAAATTGAACATAAAGATTTTATTAAGTATCTAGGGGTTTTGATCGACTCACGACTATCCTGGAAACAGCATATAGACTATATCTCACAGAAAATAAGTAGATCTATAGGTATCATAGCTAAACTAAGACATTACATCCCACGTGAAGCCATTCTTAACATTTATAAAACACTGATAAACCCTAATATTTACTATGGAATTTGCTCCTGGGGTAACAGTGCCAAGACAAACCTAAATCGACTGCTCGTACTCCAAAAACGTGCTCTTCGACTAATAAACTTCTCTAGCACAAACGAACATGCTATTCCCTTCTTCCTCCAGGCAAGATCTCTACCTTTAAATTTTCTTCACTTTGAACGTATGTCCATCATAATGTTCGAAATATTTAATAATGCGGCCCCTGTTAATTTGAATAAGTTTTTTACAACAACTCACGTAAATAACACATTCTGATTTGCTGAGAGCTATGATCAATAAGAGGACAGACACATGGATGACGTAATGTTTTTGAAACCAAGACTCGCCGGTAGGATTTTATCGTAAGGACTGTGATTTTGCGAATTTATTTTGCTAATAAAAGTCGACAATGGAACCAGAAGAGGAACCAAACTCTGAATTTAATCTTGCTGATAGTCGTGCCGACGAATATTTAGTTCTGGAGGCAGAAAAGATAGAGGAAGACGTGAAAAATTCATCTCGCTTTGCAACTTGCGAAGAAAAAGACTTGAATGAGCTTGTGTCAAGTGCTAACGCGAAGGGCACAAAAATAAACACCAAATGGGTATTAAAACTGTTGCAAGGTAGGTCAGCTTATTGTGAGCCTCGCTGCGCTCGTGGTTCCACTTTAGTTTTGAACATTTTAAGACGTCATCTATGATCAATAAGAGGACAGACAATGGAAATCTATGTGCGATTTGTTAAATATATTATATTACATAAGATATATATACCTCTCGAAAGTTTTTTTTAAATATATAATTCTTTTCTGTATTAATTAAGCTATGTTAATTTTGTTTTTCTCAAATTGCTACCGCCTCGAAAAGTTTTTTTATGCTAACTGCGGTTAAGCAATTATAATCGTAACATCATTATTATTGAAATGGGAATAACATTGTTGTCGTTGTTGTTGTTGTTGAAGAAGTGGTAGAATAACGATATCAAGCATACTCACTAATTACTAGCTGTCAAATGCATAAGACTCTATGTCCGCTTCCGATTTGACGAAAACAAGCTTTTAACTTTTTGCCATTTTTTAAAGAAATTGGACCATGTTTTCTGTCTACACAGAATGTTAGTCAATCTATCCAAGCATCCGTATTTTGAGGTTTAAAGCTTAGTAGCGATTTTATTCGAGGGATCCGAATTAAAAGAGCTTCATCCTTTTTGTTTATGTCCTACAGGTAGCTTATAACACTACTCCAATTAACGTAACACAAAAGAAATGCCTCCGAGCGAGAATCTTCACGCTCGTACTTTCTTTGAAAAGCGTGAAGCAACATTAATCAAACGCACAAATGTTTTATTTTAATCTTTTTTTACTCGTTCAAGGTATTTTCTGGTAATTCCGATCAAGGAACAATTGTCAGACATAAGCTTCTACAAGAGATATACGCTCGATATCTTCGCATTCAACCACGAACATGGCACGAACACATCTCTTTAAGAGCTGAGGTCTATGGATGCACTTCAGGTAAGAAAAATCCAAACTGAATGGTGACCTTTTATAAGAAAAACACGACAGCATTTTTTTATCTTTCTTTATGGTTTAGGTTTTCAGATTCCTTCTCGCTTAGTCACGTGCGTGAATCCACTTGGAATGCAGAACAAAACTATCCCTGATTCTCGCATCACAGCCTCTTCCATGTGGGATGGGAACCATTCACCTGCAAGGGCCAGACTAGGGACTATTAGAGTTGGCAAATACAGAGGTGCATGGTCAGCAAGTACTAACGATTTAGGACAATGGATTCAAGTCGATTTCATTCGAGCTACCAAGGTAACACGCATAGCCACCCAAGGTCGTGAGGATGTTGACCAGTGGGTGTCATCTTATGCTGTTCAATATAGCCTTGATGGTGGATATTTTGAGAACTACAAAAAGGGTCAGGTACTAAGAGGGAACACTGACAGAAATAGCATTGTGGGAAATATTCTTGATCCAGCCATTATTGGACGATACATCAGGATACGTCCGAAGTCTTGGTATGAACACATCTCCTTAAGGTTTGAACTATATGGATGCAAGAAAGGTGAGTGTCATTTAAAGAATCAATTGCTATTTGCTCTTTATACATAGCAGACGTATGCATTTAGTAATATCGTTAATATTTTTTTACTTCTACTGAATGATTTTTCAGGTTTTGACCTTCCAACACCTTGTTGTGGAGAACCTCTTGGTCTCCAATCCAATGCCATAAGTGATTCCCAAATGACAACTTCCTCTGAATGGGACGTTGGTCACCGGGCAGCCAATGCCAGACTTAATTACCATGCTGGTGCAGGGAGAACAGGAGCTTGGTCTGCTCTCTACAACAATGCTGATCAATGGCTACGAGTGGATTTCATAACTATGACCAAAATCACGAAAATTGCAACCCAAGGCCGCCAAGACTCTGACCAGTGGCTGAACAGTTACACAATTTCTTACAGTATAGATGGTGTGTTTTGGAAGGAGTACCCTGAGGTAGGTCGACAGTGCAAAGTAAAATCTCGTATATACTTGCACCATATTAAATTAAGTTCTAAAAGAGTAACTACGAATGCATGTCTTGGGTATCTGGATGACATACTGGTAAAACTCTCGCCTTACTCCTCTATGGTCCGGGAGTTCCAATCCTCTTTCTGGCTGCGAGGGTTTTTCCGGTCATCTGGTTTTTCCTCCCTCCCCTCGAACCAACGCTTATAATTCAAACTGGTTAGAGCTGAGCTCCGGGGTAATGCGTGGACTGCATAGCGGCTACCAGAGGCGCCTTCACAAGCTTTCAGTTCAACCCCGTTGAGCTTTGAGCAGCACTACTGCTGTACTTGCGTTGGTGGTTAGCAACGACGAGTTTTTTTAATAGCTAATATTATTTTATTCCAATCAGTGTTTATAACATACATATGCATTACAGATAAGTTAACATTTACTCTTTCATAGACATTTCCGATCTCAACAAATTCTTTTTTTCAATCTTAGAAGGTGTTTTCTGGTAATTCGGATCGGGAAACGATTGTCAGACATAAGTTTCAGCAAGAGATATACGCTCGCTTTCTTCGCATTCATCCACGAACATGGCACGAACACATCTCTTTAAGAGTTGAGATCTATGGATGCACTTCAGGTAAATAGAAGCCAAACTGAATGATGACCATTTATAAGAGAAACACGTCCGAATTGTTTTTTATCTTTCTTAATGGTTTAGGTTTTCAGATTCCTTCTGGCTTAGTCACATGCGTGAATCCACTTGGAATGCAGAACAAAACTATCCCTGATTTTCGTATTACAGCCTCTTCCATGTGGGATGGGAACCATTCACCTGCAAGGGCCAGACTAGGGAGTACTAGAGTTGGCAAATACAGTAGTGCATGGTCAGCAAGTACCAACGATTTAGTACAGTGGATTCAAGTCCATTTCACTCGAGCTACCAAGGTAACGCGCATAGCCACCCAAGGTCGTGAGGATGTTGACCAGTGGGTGTCATCTTATGCTATGCAATTCAGCCTTGATAGTAGATATTTTGAAAACTACCATCGGATGCTTATAGGGAACAACAACAGAAACAGCATGGTAGGAAATGTTCTTGATCCAGCTATTATTGCCCGATACATTAGGATACGTCCTAAGTCTTGGTATAGACACATCTCCATGAGGTTTGAAGTCTATGGATGTAAACAAGGTGAGTTTTATTTAATAAGCAATAGAAGCAAAATTTTAGGACTCTATCAGAGAAATGAGCACTTACCTACAGCAAGAGATAAACGCTTGAATTATTTGCTTACATTCACTAAAAATGGGAAGGGTGCATCTCTTTGAGTGCCGAGGTCTATGGATTTACTTCGGGTAAAGAAAAGCCAAACTGAATAACGACATTTTATAAGAGAAACATGACAGCATTTTCTATATCATTTTTTATGGTCTAGGATTTCAGATTCCTTCTCGCTTAGTCACATGCGTGAATCCACTTGGAATGCAGAACAAAACTATCCCTGATTCTCGCATCACAGCCTCTTCCATGTGGGATGGGAACCATTCACCTGCAAGGGCTAGACTAGGGACTATTGGAGTTGGCCAATACAGAGGTGCATGGTCAGCAAGTACCAACGATTTAGAACAGTGGATTCAAGTGGATTGTATTAAAGCTACCAAGGTAACGCGTATTGCCACCCAAGGTCGTGAGGATGTTGACCAGTGGGTGTCATCTTATGCTGTTCAATATAGCCTTGATGGTGGATATTTTGAGAACTACAACATGGGTCGGGCGCTCATAGGGAACACCGACAGAAATAGCATTGTGGGAAATGTTCTTGATCTAGCCATTATTGGACGATACATCAGGATACTTCCCAAGTCTTGGTATGGACACATCTCCTTGAGATTTGAACTATATGGATGCAAGAAAAGTGCTACTAAATAATGAATTGGAAAAAAACGCATGAATGAATAATATGTATAATGATGGCTGAATCTTTATAAGGCTTAGCATGTACGCGATACAAGTATTTTCCTGTAATCAAAAAGGATTTAAAAAATAATAATAATATGCCTTGATAAAAACATCCTTTAGATTGATAAAAAATTTCAATCCCGATTTTATATATTGATTGTTTGATTTGGCTTTTGTAGTTTGTTTATTTTTATGCATCATTTCATGGAAGCCAGTAAATACCTATTTACGCGCAAGGATTTTGTTATATGAATGATTATTTCAACTTTAAAATATAGCATCGGCCTTCGTTTTGAACTATTACAGTTACAATATGAGGGTGTTATTGTCCCATTTGCACCATTTGCATACATCCATAATGTCTGCTATTTTTGCTATTCAGAGATCTCGTAATTAACATCACTTTAATTTTACATTTTTATTGATTAAACGATAAACAATTTAAAAAATAATGATGGTTTTCGATGTTTGGTAAAGTTCATATAAGATGACGTTTCGACGACGGCTGAGTGGCAGTCTTCATCAGAATGATAGGGTTGAAAATGATGAAAAAGTGTATTAAACAAACAAAACAGCCTTTTCCGTGCTCCGTTCAGTTATAAAGCATGCAGGAAGTGACGTAAGCACGAAAGAAGTGAGTGCTTATGGCGCTTCCTAAGTGCTTTATTTTTAGCAGCAATTATTCGCCAAAGGCGAAGTGAATATCGGGGAATATTTACCAAGATGCAAGTCTTCGAGCGGCGAGGTAAATGTTCTCCATATTCACTGAGCCTGAGGCGAATAATTGTTTTAGCATATACCAACTTGTGTACAGAGTAACTTATATACAATAATTCAATAAAAACAAACAGAAACTTTTAATTTCCTTGACAAATTGACGCAAAACCGTTAGCAAAACTTTTAGGCCATACTTCGTTGCGTTTTTAGTATTGATAGGAATGGCATTTACTTTCATTGTTTTCAATTTCTTCATCGGAAATTGCAGCAAAACGATTGCCGGCAGATGCCATTTTGTTGCCGACTCAATATTCCGAGATTCAGAGGCGAATATCGTACAATATTCACCTCCAACCAATGAGCGCGCGCGTTCTTAGGAAGCACACAAGTTGGTATATGCTAAATACATATATATATATATATATATATAGAAAAGTGGGAAAATTTCAATTTCGTGAATGTCTCACGCGAAAGTCTCAAATTAACATTAATAATTCGTTTAACACATACATTCCTTTACAGAAACAAAAACGAATATATTACGTAGCAAAATTACGCAACGAAATATAATAGACTCCTTGCCAAAATGGCGGCCGCAAATTCGGTTGAGTTAAAATTAAACTGAGAGAAAAACCAATACCAGCACTGGGAAGAGCTCCTTTACTTTAGTAACCCTACAAAGATTCATTATGTCAGGTGTTTTATCGGTACTACGAATTTCTGGAAGAATTATTTGCAAGACACAGTTTTCTTGAGCTTAAAAGTACCCTCAAAACAAGTGAGAATTTTACCATGGCCGATACAACGGAAAAGCGACATTTTCACTTTAGGTAATTTCAAGATGATATTGTTCAAGACTGTGACAAAAAGAGAAATAGCTACAGGGAAGTGGCTAGTGATGTGAAGGAATCGCATAACGGAATTGTGCAGTAAGGCTGCTACACTCGAACGCGTAAACAATTTGCTGACTAACGTCGAAGACCAAACCAAGTAGGGAAAGTGAAATTGAAATGAAGAATTTGTTTCAATTATCATCAGTCAGTTTTGTAATGTTTAGGTTATTTGAATATATTCTTTTGCTTTAATTTTCCAAATCCGTGCGCCCTGAAAGAAAAGGTGATCATTTTTTCCCTGTGGGATGCTGTATAAGTCTTTTGTTGGCACACGACGAGGCCTTAGGGTAAAAGCGGGTGTTGCTAAAACGTTGACTCGAACCAAAGGACAGACAGATTTTTAATTTTTTTCGTAGTGTTTCTCTTTCTAGTTTGAAATCCGGTTTTTGGACATTCTAAGCTTGCATTAATGGAACAAACACATTCTGGAAAATTAAAGCAAGAGAGTATAATCAAATAACCTAAAACATAGCAAGGCTGACTGATGATCAATTGAAACAAATTCTTCATTTCAATTTCACTGCCCCTTCTCAATTTGGTCTTCGACGTTAGTCAGCAAATTGTTTACAAGTTCGAGTGTATTCATAACGCCTTACCGCACAATTTTTTAGCGCTTCCTGCGCATCACTAGCCACTTCTCTATAGCTCTTCCTCTTCTTGTCTCTCGGTTCAGCTTCTAAATATAATTAAATAAACTGTCTTTTAAATTCGATTTTGACTTGTGAATTGAACGTATGCACCGTCGAAGTGTATATCAACTGGCGCGTAGTTTGTCTCATTAGCATGTTATTTTAATCTCACGCTTGTTTGCATGTAAAACGTCGGTTATGTGAAATCTTTCTTATGACTGTCAAAATTATAATAATATTTTCCAATCTTTTATAATGCGTTTGAGGCATCAATACTTAGCAAATGTGAGGGTTTTTTCTGAAGATAGAGCAGCATTTACTCCCAACTGTTTCACAAATAATGTAATTGGTGTAGTGACGGCCATCTACACAAAACCAGAAAAGCATTGCGTGACCATCGGTAATGGGATAATAAATATTATGTGTGCATGTGAGTTCTTTTTTAAAAACATGTATCCAAATAAATACAGAGAAAACGAGTTTGATTAACCGGCTTAGCATGTTCGTGATAGCCTATTAGCTAAGGGAAAGGGGGTTACAGGCTACCCTTTAGGACTAACTTAAAGTGCCTATGACACTTATTTTTCAAATTAAAGGCCCCTGTATGCATGACAATGTTTTAGAGCCCCAACCTTTCATGTCCCAAAACATTTCGGTACCCCCCTCTCTACATATTTATCAACCTGGAAACTTTTCTAAGTACGTCATAAAGGAATGCAAAATTTGATCTTCTCACTAGTCGAACACATTGAAAACAATAGATCGGCTCATTTTATACGCCCTTATATTGTGTGTGATCCGAGAGGCCAAAGTTACGAGCGTAGGTCTACCAGCATTTGTCCAGTTACAAGGGCGGATCTAGGATTTTTTGAGGGGAGTCCAAAGGCGGGTATGAATAATTTTTCTTATGAAACGACTTTAGTTGAAATGTTTGTTTTCCTCGTTAAAAGATGTCAGCGAACAAGGACTTATACCTTCTAAAGAAAATCATGCAGCTACAAGTTTGAATAAGATTATTCATTGCGTCAATGTAGGGTTGCTTTCTCCTTTTATCCCTTATGCTGCTGGTGTCCAGATCATACGTTGCACCCATCTCTTGTAGCATGGGTTTTGAGAATGTTTTCATTGTGTTCTGCACACCAAGCTCACACAGGTTATAAACATCAAAAAAATATAAGGGTGCTGTTTTTAATTTTAATTTTAATCTCAAGCCCATTTTGTGATCGAACTGAGCTAGTATTTAGAGTGTCCTGAAGGGGTAAAACGCCTTTTTTGGGCTGAGAAAATGGGGCTTAATGCGCACTGGGACTGGGATTCATAAACAACAACAACAACAACAACAACAACAACAACAAAATCAAAAATGGTAATAAGACTGAGGTTTGAGAAAAACATAGGCTAGGACTATGGGATTTAAACTGGGATTTGGGTAAAATTTGGGCTGCCGGAAATGGGATTAGGACCCCCCTTACAGGACACTATTGATCATGAAGGAATCACGGTCAGGAGCTGCATGCTAACACGAACGTTAGGCTCTTATATACTAAAATATTAGGTACAAAATGTAGAATAACTAGAAATCAAAGTCTTATTCTTTGTATTTATTTTGATTCATTTTTTCAAAAAATAAATCACATGCACACTGTTTATTATCCAGTCTTAGATGGTCGCACAATGCTTTCGCGGTTTTGTGTAGATGGTCGTCACTACAACGAGAATTGCATAATTGTGAAGCAGTTGGGAGTAAATTCTGCTCTTTCTTCAGAAAAAAACCCTCACATTTGTAGTATTGATGTGTCAAAAGGCTTATAAAAGATTTGAAAAATAAGATTATAATTTAATTTAATTTATTATAGGGTATCTAACTTCAAAGTATAAACAAAATTGATTTTTGACCGTTACCACCTTATGTCTAATTTTTGCAGACGGTCGCTCTTGATATCTGAATGCATTGTGGTTAATATCCGAATGCATTGTGGTTAATATCCGAATGCATTGTGGTTAATATCTGAATGCATTGTGGTTAATATCCGNTAATATCCGAATGCATTGTGGTTAATATCCGAATGCATTGTGGTTAATATCTGAATGCATTGTGGTTAATATCCGAATGCATTGTGGTTAATATCAAAGACAAAGTTTTGAGCCTCAGCATCTACACGATTTAGAAGTGCTTCCTTGCTCGCTCGCTTCAGGTTCCCTTGCTGCGTCTGAGAAAACATATATATCAAGGGCTTAATCACCAATAGAGCTGTTAAGTGTGACGTAATTATTCCAACGAAAAACTACTTCCGGGTCCAAATTAGTAATTACTTCTAAAAAACATTTTCTGTGTTTTTTTGTTTTTTTGTTTTTTTCATAGCAGGATTTTCTGTTCATATATATATATTTAATTGTTGAAGACGGAGAATAAATCCTGGGAATAAGTTGTGACAAGATTTTAGCCATGATTGTACCCCGAAATAAGTCACAGCTTAAAAGCCTAATATATATATTTAGGCACTGCCTAAAGGCGGAGCTTCCGATACGGAAGTCACAGGAGAACAATTTGAATGAAACTGAAAGGTGAAAATAAGATCGGGGAAAAAATCTTCAATTATTTTTTATTCAGAAGTCATGATAATTTCTCCCATAATAAAAACCATGCAGTGAAATCGAATCGAAATGCACTACATCGTTTCTTGTTGTTTTTTGTTTGTTGTTTTTTGTTGTTGTTGTTGTTGTTTTTTTTGCGCGAGTATACTCTCCCACTTAGGAATTTTGTACACAACTTACCACCACCCCCAGGGGCTAGTTTTCTTCTTGGAAGATTCTTCGACAAAAAGTTTTCCAAGGCCAACAGTTTTAGGCTTTGAATCTCTTTTACCTTAAGAAAAACGAAAGCTAACTACAGATAATCCAATACAATATCAAGTTTAGTGAAATTTACCTCGGATGTCTTTCATTGAAATCGAAAATCTGGAGATTAGGACAAATCAAGGACAAAAAACAGACTTGAAAACTGGTTAAGGTGAGCAAAAAATGAGGTTTACTTAATAGTTCTTTCACAGTTTTCCAGAAACAGAGCTTACGTTCATTCAGTTGACAAGAACAACTGAGACAAAATAAAAAAATAATTCAAAAGGCAATGCAAAATACGAAATGACTCATTTCTTTGACAGGCGTTTGTGGCGTTTGCAAATGTTTTTGAATATTTTTTAGCTTTTTAGAGTGAAAGTCTAGTATTTCTTTATACAATAACATCTTTCAACAACGCAAATTTAAGCTCATTTTTATAATCATACTTGCTCGAACAGCTTAATAAACAGTTGAATATTTGGTAAAAATTTATATTTCATTTAATGATTAAATAAATTATCTGTAGAAAGATATAAAATTATTGAATGAAAGTCAACGAACGGACGAACGGACGGAAGTGACGTCAGCCAAGCCATGAAAAATCAACTCGAAGGTTTACCATTTTTTCTTAAGTATGGGGCTCCGCGGGAGCTATGCTAATAGTGCTATACTTTTCTTTCTCAGAACAGAAGGTTGGTTTCGCTAGTGTTTAGTGGCGAATACGTACCTCTAAAACTACCTAGGGGCAGCGTTTACTTTTTTAACTTGAGTTTGGAAATGTTCAATACTATGCAGTCACCTTAACCCTGATTTATTATGCGAGAATCGTGACCTCTGCCATCCATTGCCCAGCTATTTGCTATAGCGGAAATCCGTCTAAAAATCCTCCATCAGGATGCAAATAATACTATTTACTATTTACTATTTACAATATGCCGATGATAATGCCATAGCAACTCACACAGAGGAAGATCTTCAGACAGCAATGAATGCATTCAGCCACGCCTATAATGCGCAGGGCCTCAAACTCAATGCTCAAAAGACAAAGGTTGACACCTGATAGCATACACGGACGACAACAACCACAGATTACAGTTGGTGGGCAGTACCTCAACACTGTTGATAATTTCACATATCTTGGCAGTTGCTTGTCAAGTAAGGCTGATCTGGATGCAGAAATTCAAGTTCGTCTTAGTTCAGCTAGTGGTGCATTTGGGCGCCTGAGAACTCGAGTATTTGATAACAAAGAGCTCAATATCAACACAAAGATCAAGGTCTACAAAGACATGATTCTACCAATCCCGCTTTATGGCTCAGAGGCTTGGACCACCTACAGTCGCCACCTCAAAAACCTGGAGAAATACCATCAGCGATGCCTTTGCCGTATACTGAACATCAAATGGCAGGACAGACGTGCCAACAATAGTGTGTTAAAAGAGGCCAATATCTCCAGCATCGAGACCATCATTATCAAGAACCAACTTAGATGGGCTGGGCACGTTGTGCGTATGCCCGTATCAAGACTCCCCAAGAAAATTCTATACGGTGAGCAGACCAATGGAAAGCGAAACCAAGGTGGTCAACTGAAACGCTTCAAAGACAATTTGAAGCACAATCTCAAACAATGTGCTATCAACACAGATGATTGAGAGGAGCAGGCTGGCAACAGACCTGGCTGGAGACATGCTATTTACGCAGGAGCGAAGCAAAGTGAACAACGAAGAAAAGAGCACAGAGAAAGACTTCGGTCGCAAAGAAAATCAAGGCAACAAACTTCTCCAACAGCTGAACCAACAGCTACAGAGTTCGTATGTGCTACCTGTCAAAGACGATGTTTTTCTAGAATCGGACTTCATAGCCACAAAAGAACACATAAACAATAACAATCATTTACTAAGTAGACATCTTACTCATTAGAGGGATAGCTTCACATTTGCTATAGCGTAAATCCGTCTAAAAATCCTCCATCAGGATGCAAATAATACTATTTAATTACCTTTGGGGTGCAACCATGTTGGTTGATCTAACAAGAGAAGCTAATGAGGAAAAGTTTGTTATCGTCAACCAAGACAGCGTCACATGTCAAGAAGAGCGATTGAACCCTGCATATCCTAACAATGCGAGATTTTATTTACTTCTAAGCAATTGGAACCTCCTTATATTCGTTTTTAAAACGGTTATAAAATTGAAAAATCTACTTTTGTCATTTAAAACCAAGCATATTAAACTTGTAAGTGTTTTTGGTGCTTTCTTCCTGAAATCGTGCCTTCTAGCTTCCGGAGTAGGGAAACACTCCTGACCTTCACATCCCATGTAAGATTAAGTACATCCTTTCACAGCGGGGCTCCAATAATGGGGTCTCGTCTGAGATTTTTTGGGGTTCATTTTACGTCATAGCCGCCATGTTGGTTGACATAACAAAGCATTCCTCATTAGCTCGTTAGATCAACCAAAATGGGGCTGCTTCATTTTTTTTATTTTTTATTTTTATTCTAAGGGATTTTGAGTCATGTGGTCCTACCCCAAAATTATTATTTTTGAAAAATTAACAAAAAGAGTAATCTACCTTGAATTGATTCATTGATCTAAAAGGTCATCTAGTAATGAATATTGTGAGGTGTGTTGGAGTGACGATACGTTGACAAGTACATTTAGGCGTATGAAATATGAAGACTCTGCGTACATCAAGAGAGTCCTTGACAYACCACGTATGGGGATGGGGATTAAAATAAAAACAAGTAATCCGAAAGCAATAATGCTTAACCTTAGGGCTTTGATCAAAAGGAGCTCATATTTCATAGATTAATGTGCTTCAGGCGCAAAGCTACATTTTAATTCAGTATTATGCAAACACAAAAAATAAATGATCAATGCAAATGGAATATCCGTCAACATTGGAATCACTCGACTATGTAGTCTTTGTGAAATGTGGGGAAAATCCAATTTTAAAATAAAAATCCGTATTTAGCAGAATTTGCAGCACGTCCGCAAGTGATCCCTTACAATGTACATCAAGTAATTATTCATAGGAGGACATTTCTCAAAAGGAAGTGCAGAAAAACAAATAGCAAAATCCACATTTCATCGTGTATCTGATTAGCTTCAAAATCTAGACAAATTACATATTACGCAATAAGTAGAGTGTATGGATGGTTTTTAACCGTTAACTTTTAACAATTAGTAGGCGTGTTTAGAGCATTTAGTTACCGATTTGGAAACGTTTTGACCATATCACTGTAACATAACGTCGTTTTAGGAGTGGCATCTAATTGCGCAACGTTTTTCGCAATCATGAGTACTTTTTCACTTCCGATATTGAAACAACATGCCCTTTGCGTCTTTGATGATGCTCCGACATATCGTATTACGGGCAGAATTACTTCTGTCGATACTTATAAAAGCCTGAGGAAAAAGCCTACAGGACCAAATCAGCGAATACTTGTAAAATCGCTAAAGATATAACATTGCTGTCTGTATTACCAGAGGTAAGTAGAACACATTTGTTTATAGTATTGAGTAGTTTACATATCCCTATAGTACAATGTTGTATTTGATATCACTATTAGTACTTATAAACCATACATTTCTAAATTATATATACTTGTATTTAACTATATTGATACCTATATTTCAGTAGCAACTTGCTTGTTCTTGTAAAGGTTATTTAATCGGGATACGATGATAACACGCGCACCTTAGAAAGACTCCGCGGTTTAATAATGTTTATTTATCAATCTATTGACATTGAAGGAAAAGGAACAAAAACATAACAGTCTGGACAATGTATGCAACAGAATATGTGTATATACGAGAATAGAAGCGCATTAGAAGATTTAATATCCTAATTTTACATTTGTCTTTTTAAAAGATGATAACAATTTCGGGTATAATTTTTTTTAAATATAACTATGCACAAACGAAAAAGAGCATTTGACCTTTTTGTCTTTTTATACTATATTCTATCTCACTGTTATTTCTTGATTAATTTTTCAAGTTATCGAATAAAAACAAAACAAAACAAACAAAAACAGACAATCCACCCAAAAAAAACACCTTTGCTCGGATCGGATTTCAGCTTCTCGCGTTAGTAACAGATACATTTATTATATTTCTTATTTTCGTGATGTCCAATGTACATGTAATTCGATGACCTGGTCTGTAATTTATTAAAGTTGCGGCAACAGACCCCTTGCATGTGACGTCAATCTGGGGTCACAGAGGTAATATTTGTATTAATACTTTGAGTAAGATACCATGTCGCGAACCCATCAAAAATATTTTACAAACAACTACTAAAAAAGGCTTAGGTAAAGGTACTTTATTGTACTTTAATGACGCAAATAATAATGATTCTGCATAACGAATAGTTGAATGGTAAAATATGTTTTCATTTGAATTTTGCGGCTTTAAGTTATGAAGGTTTATACCTCCATTATGTTACTGACTGTGACGTCACTCCAGGCTTTTAAGTGTATTTGTTTTAATTTTGTATACTAAGCACTAGCCATCATGAGTAATCAAATTTACAATCAACATTGTGGAAACCTTCAATATAATGATGATGTTTTTTTTAAAACTGTTTGTGTGAAGCAGTCAAAATTTGTATATGTAATGAAGCTTGGGGTGACGTCACAGTGATTTACATATTGGTAGTATAAACCTTCATAACATAAAGACGATATTATTCAAACGATGAAATATTTCACCATTCAACTATTCACATTATATAGAATCACTACTGAAAGTGAAAGCGTTAGGTAAACTTTAAAGTTCTCAAAGTTGCGCCCCATAACCCCTCAGGCTATGCGCGTTAAAACTAAAGCTTCACAGAACAGAGAAATCGCGTAAAAACTAAAGCTTCACAGAACAGAGAGAATTCGTAACATACCTGAAATCCCGGGGATTGAACCGTAGTCCTCTAACTCTGAAAACTGACTAGTATTGTTCAACATGGGACTGGTTTGCGTTTAGGAACCAGTCTAGTAGCTTTGAGATTGCACTAGCAACACCAAACGTGTTTTTCCTTACTATAAGGTTTCGTACCTAAGTTCTTGTATTCAAGAGATGTTATCCCAGTCAGTATAAAAACAACTGTAAATCAAATTTATTGGGAATGGGAGTTGAATATCAATTTTTATTTGTTTGGTAATACAGCACTATTATCAAGCGAAGTGCTTTATATAGCTCGTCTGATTCACTTTGCTTGATAATGGTACCGTGCTGAAAGCGAAACACCGTGCTACATTTCTTTTTTATTACGGTTTGTACTACGAAATCTTTGCTTATATTTAGTAATTGTAGCTTAGTGGTAGATGCTGACCCCACATGCAATTCAGTATTTTGTACCACAAAAAATGGAAATAAGCTAATTTACGTATCAACACAGGTTATCCCAGTGAACGATAATATGGCGTCAATTTGTCTGTATCTGTCGAGCTCCCATTTCACTATCATAAATTGAAAATTAATTTCAATATATATATATATATTGTATATATATATATATATACACCGAATCCCTAAAACTTTGACAATTTAGCGATATATATACATATATATATGTATCCCCTTTTTCCTATTGTCTTTCCTTGAAAATCCAGGTATGACAATAGAAAAAAGGGGGTTACACATATATGTATATATATCTTTAAAGTGTCAAAGTTTTAGCGATTCGGTGTATATATATATATATATATATATACGTGTTGTTACGTAAATTAGCTTATTTCCATTTTCAATATATATATATATATATATATGATTATTACAAATGAAATGACTGGACAAGAAAGAAGTAAAGTCCAGGGATAAAAGAAAGGTCGCAGACTAACAGCAAAGAAAGGCGTATTTATGTTAATGGTATGGAAATGCTAATCCTTTGGTTTCTTTAATTTCTTCAGATGAAGGTCTGGGGTATGCTGCTTGTTTGTGTGTTAACTTTTTTTGTGGGTGCCTGTCATTTGGCAAAAGGTTTGTACATTAGACAATTTCGTATTTTATACCTATTCGTAGTTTGGTCCTCGAGCTGGGAAGCATAAAACAAAGAAATGATATCCTTGCTTCTCAAAATCAGCATGAAAGAACATAGGATTAAGCTATTTACCTTAAATTACAATTTTTGACCTTAAATTGTCAAGATTCTGACTTGAAACATGTTTCTTTCGTCATATATGCCATCGACACGACTTATGTTGCTCTGTAGTGGCGCAGAGCCCAAGTGACGGAAAGGGCCGTCTAACGCAGAACAAGCACAAAATCTTCCTATAACAAGCAAAATTATAATGAACATGCATTATTGAAGTCCTGAATTTGTCTTTGAAGTTTTCATGCCAAATAATTTACCTCAATTCAGTTTAATTAGTATCAATACTAATTAAAATGTTATTGTCCGTAGGTCAGGCCCCGAGGCACTGCTCTTTCGAAAGTGGTACTTGCGGCTTTGTCAATGATAGGTCTGGAACAGATGACTTTGATTGGACAAAACTAAACAATGCTGCTGAATCTGTCACAAGATATCGCATAACAAAAACATTTCTTCATTCCTTTTTCTGGAGGTTTCGTAAGTTAAGAGCTTTACTTTATCTTTTAGGTGCTTTATTTAATAGCTCCGTTTCCAACATTAGAACATGTCTTAACTCTATTAGGCTTCCTTTTCAAAAGGGCAGAAATACGGAGGAACATCAAATCCAAAAACCCTGGCCTGGCATTAGAAATGATGAACTAAACCTACATTTTCCTTGACTTCTAAAACACTGCTTTTAGTGTAATTCACTCTGTGTTTTTWTTTTTTTTTATTTTATTATTTATTTATTTTGATAGGTTATCGAACTAAAAAAGTTTTTTACAAAGCATTTCCCCGTGGACCTAGAGGTGATCACACAACCGGAAGTGGTACGTAATCATTGTTGTAAATCTTTTATTTTGAAAATAGTCTTTTGCCTCTTTTCTTCGTGAACCTCAATTCTATACCATAGGACGTAAATCGAAACGTAAATCTACTCGGAAGGACGTGGTTCCAATTATTGAGCCGTCGGAGCAGTCCATTTTTAAAGAAAAGTCAATGAATGGATTTCCTCGGCAAATTAATTTTTTTTTGTTGACGTCCAAATTCATCTGGAGTGTACCCTCTTATGGGTATGAAATGGTTTCTTTATTTCAGACAAATAAATATATTGATTAGATTATTTCATGATCAAATTAAAATTTTAAAATTTGATTTTTTCGGAAGCAAGAAAACAGGAGAACCCGGAGAAAACCGGTGATTCATACTATCTAGTAATCTATAAGATTAGACTCATACTGGAATACGGCATCTCATAGTTTATTCGTTGCCAAGAAACTATAAACAATCCAAACAACACTCATGATTCTAGTGATTCATACTATCTAGTAATATATAAGATTAGACTCATATTCGAATACGGCATCTTATAGTTTACTCGTTGCCAAGATACTATAAACAAATGAATCCAAACGACAATCATGATTCTAGTGATTCATAGATCTACTAAGAGTAAACTCATACTCCAATACGGCATCTTATAGTTTATTGGTTGCCAAGAAACTATAAACAATCCAAACAATACTCATAATTCTAGTGATTCGTACTATCTAGTAATCTATAAGATTAGACTCATACTGGAATACGGCATCTCATAGTTTACTCGTTGCCAAGAAACTATAAAAAAATGAATCCAAACGACAATCATGATTCTAGTGATTCATAGATCTACTAAGAGTAAACTCATACTCCAATACGGCATCTCATAGTTTATTGGTTGCCAAGAAACTATAAACAATCCAAAGAACACTCATGATTCTAGTGATTCATACTATCTAGTAATTTATAAGATTAGACTCATACTCGAATACGGCATCTTATAGTTTACTCGTTGCAAAGAAACTATAAACAAATGAATCCTAATAGCACTCATGATTCTGCTGGTTCTTTAGCGAAAATGTACATATGGATCACTTGAGGCAGTGAGGAGACGGAGCTTAGTTCTCTTTTCTATGAATAATAATGAACCATGTTCACCAAAATCCTCATTAAAATCTTTAGATGAAAATGGATACTATTAAACAAAATAGTTTGATACTGATTTTCGGCTTGTTGCTGAATATACAAGAGAGTCTTTAATATTCAGGTCGCAAGCGTCAACATTTCTTCATATGAGACAAGTAAATTTTAGTTCAAAAGTTGCCTACATATAAAATTTCTTAAAAATTACCGGTTTTCGATGGCAAATGGATACTATTTATGTCGTTCTAATTTCTGTTTTTTAACTGTAAAGTATTACTTTGACATTTCAACTTTAGTTTTTAAGCCGCAAGCCCGGTATTTTGTTAACGCAAGTCCAAGAAAAGTTGTCTTGTATTAACGTGTTTGTCGCAAAATTGACTCATTCTTTTGTAAATTGAGTCAAAATTTTCAAACTTCCCGCGCACTTCAGTGATTACGAGCGTATGCAAATGAGACGGCAAAGGCAATATGTCCGGGCATTCTGCGCCATGCTTGGAGCCCAGGGGAGACCCAACAAGCACTGGACTAATTCAGCGATGTGTGGGCCATCTTGAATCACTAGTATTATGGGTCTCCCAGGTCTCAAAAAAATCAATATGCTTAAATGACGAACCCACGATATGTGAAAAATATTCTCAGTTATTTTATTTCATCTTTTGTGAAATTGTCTTAATGTGAGCCGGAAATTTCCACCTACGCAATTATCTACTTTCACATCCCCATAATACTTTGCGTCTTTGGGGGGTAACCAGAGGGTAAAAATCCACTTATTTTGCTTAAGGCTGATCAGACAATGTTGACAATACCTTGTTTGGTATCCAAAAATAAAATGAAGAAGTAAGAAACAGAAAAAGATAGAAGCTTGAAGTTGTTGTAGGTAAATGTTTAACATTTTTTCGTAAGTCAATACGTTTTCTGTAGGACCAAAACTCTTGATGATTTGTACACGCAAAAATAACTTGGAATAAACTGATGATCAATATTGTACAGATAAAAGCAGGTATGCTATAAATTCAATTAAGAAACCTTTCAATTTGGGAAAGTTTTTTGGTTGGTTACCCCCCAAAGACGCAAGGCATTATGGGGATGTGAAAGTAGAGAATTGTAACAAAATTGTGTATATTTGCCTCCACCCTCCCCCGACTACCCATAATGCATTGTGATTCAAGGTGGTTGCTGCATCGTCGAAGAAGTTTATTCCTCTACTAAAATATGATGGTGAGTCCGGGGATCGAGCCCATGACCACAGCGTTGAGAGGCGACCGCTCAAGTTCTCTGGAACTCAATTCACAATCGTTTCTTTGTCGTTCACTTAGGGTGAATATTCAGTGTGCGTAATGTTCTTGCTTTCTAGGTTCTTATATGTATGCAAGGACAATACCGGCAGATGTAAGAACAGGCAACCTCGGTCGTCTTGTTAGTCCTGTTTATACAAATGTTTCGTGCGTTACGTTCTACTATTTCATGCACGGTAATGATATCGGTGATCTCGAGGTTCTCGTTAAGACAGGGAACAATACTCCTACTAAAGAGTGGTCGCTTTTTGGAAATCAAGCCAATGCTTGGAAACGGGCCACGATACCAGTTAACGCTGGTGCTAACGAGACTGTGAAGGTAAGGACGCGAAATTAAAACTTGATTTGCTTATATCTTATTAAAGAAAATAGCATTAATATGTAAATTGAAAATCTCCTTTAGATATACTTCCAGGGTGTGGTTGGAGCATCAGGCAGAGCAAGTGTGGCTATTGATGACATTGACATAAGTTCAGATCAGTGTTCGTTCTACCCAACACCGGCAAAGCCGAAGGGCGTTATCACCGATGGTAATAATTTTGTAACCAATTCTTAAAGCTGCAACTCGCTGAATTGATTGACATTAGTTAATTGATAGATTCTTAACTTGCTTTTGTTCGGACATTCATTATGTTTTATCGTGCCTTGCATTTTTCATTCCTAACGCCTTTTTTGTTTGTGCGCAAAAACATAGAAAATTATAGCCAATGCCTGACATACCTCCTTTGCCTTTGTCTAGGAATTGAAATTTAAAAGTTGCATTTTTCTGAATAAGGAAAGTTGAAGAACCCTGAGAAAACACTCGACAATTCAGATGTTTTCCCCTCTTTTCGTTTTCAGGCCTAGGTAGCTGCACTTTTGAACGTTCTTCGTGTGGTTATCAAAATGTCAAGGACGACGATTTTGATTGGATAAAATCGGGAGTAGAATCATTCGTTAGTACTTTAGGTCCGAGAAGAGACCATACCTCAGGGTTAGGTAAGTGTATCGTTGATTTAGTTTTACGAAGTCGTTTCAAATTTTTTTTTTTCTTAACTTCATATATGTGTTAATTATTCGTTAACTTCTCGTGTCCAATAGGCAAATACATGCACGCAGAAGGGTCAACAAGGGGAAGCAAGGCTCGTCTTGTTAGTCCATCTCTCCACAATATTTCCTGTGCTAGCTTTTACTATTACATGTTTGGGTCCCAAATCGGTACACTTAACGTGTACCTGAAGGAGCAAGGGAATTCCACACGCATTGAGCAAGTAACTGGTAACCAAGGTAACCAATGGTACAAATCACAACTTATCCTTGGTCAAGATGCTGTGAACAGAACCTTTAACGTAAGTTTTTTCAGAAATCATGCCTTAAAATCAGTAGCATTCAAAATTTTGAATTTAAATTTGATTTCAATAATTGCATAACTGTCTAATAACTAGTTGTTGGCCTTCGTAAATAATAATTATAAAAAATCTGACAGTTTTGAACTGTTGGAAAGTGGGCATGTAAATTCTTTTCCTAATAACCGGCAGATTTTACAACATCAGTTTGTTGAATTTATCTCTAGTTGGTTTTTGAGGCTGTCAATGGAAATGGATATTCTGGAGGTGTTGCTATCGATGACATTTCTACTTCGTTTAATTCTTGTTTGGCCTTAATTCCAACCTCTGGTCCCAACGTCAGTCCCACCAGTGTATTACCAGGTATGTTTTGTAAGCGACGTGTCTTAAGTGACACGTTTTTTGAAGCTTAATTAGCTCTGTTTCTGTAAACAAAAAATCAGATTTTTTATTTTTCTAAAACTGATCATCTTTCCTCCTTCAGACGGGTTAGTTCGCCTTGTCAATGGACCAACAACCTATGAAGGTCGAGTCGAGGTTTTTCACAACGGCGTTTGGGGTACTGTTTGTGATGACTTCTGGGACATAACTGATGCTAATGTTGTCTGTAAAATGCTCGGCTACCCTGGAGCTGTGAGGACTACCAAATCCCAAGTCTATGGAAGAGGAGTTGGTACAATATGGCTGGATGACGTGAACTGTAAAGGAAGTGAGACTTCGATTGCTCAATGTAGTCACGGCGGATGGGGTAACAATAACTGCGATCATTACGAGGATGCTGGTGTCGTCTGTCGATTAGGTAAAAAGTAGTAAAATTACCGTCAGAACTATTACTTTTTTCGTAATTCCTTTTTTCTTTCAGCACGATAGGTATTATCCATTCCAAGGTAATGAAAAACCTGGGTCGACTGTACGGTGAACTACAATTCATAATCAACTCAGTTTTTCCCAACCTCGGAATGGTACAAGCGTTCCAGTCCCTGCCCAAAAACTTAAATCGTTTAATTTGATTCTTAGATTCAAACAGTACGTCAACCGGGGACTGTACCTTCGAGTACGACACGTGTGGATATCAGAATGGCGACCGAACTAACAGTGAATTTGATTGGACGAGGAACAGAGGATCGACACCATCTTCTGGCACTGGACCACGTTATGATCAAAGTGGAAAAGGTTAGTTATTTTCTTATTTCGCATTTATTTCTCTTATTTTTCATATAGTGAACTATACCCTCTTGGCCGTTAGTTTGCCGGCCTAGATTAATTTGGAAATCTCAGGACTGAGTCTTGGCCTTTCCATCGCACTGTATTCAACTTTTTATAAAGATCTCCCACCTATTCATTAGGGTATGTACACACGGACAATGTTCTAAAGTGTTCAAATATTCTTATAAATTTGTTACTATGCTTTAGGTTACTATATGTACACCGAGGTTTCTACAGGCGATGCAGGAGCAAGAGCAAAACTGATAAGCTCTGTGCTTCCAGCAAATACCAAGTGCATCTCGTTCTATTACCATATGAGGGGCAATGATATTGGATGGCTCAATGTGCATAGTAAGAGAGAAACTTCTCAATCTATTGTTAAGCTATGGACATTAATTGGAGAACAAGGAAACTCGTGGATCCAAGGACAAGTCCCGATCAATGTTACTGGTGATGTGGGTCTAAAGGTAAGGCGAAAAACAATTAAATCATTAATATGACAAACTGATTGCAGGAATTAGCTTTCAAAGAGAAAAAAAGCAATAAAAGTCATACCTATTGCGACCATGTTGGTTAAAGAAAGAAGTTTTTTTGAACATTCTATGAAAACATGGACTATGTTCATTGCCTCATAGATTATATTTGAAGGAGTTCGTGGGAATTCTGAAAGAGGAGATATTGCCATAGACACCATTACCGTGTCCAACAAAACTTGCAACATGACACCTAGCACAGCAACGCCAACAACAATTAATGGTGAGTAAATCAAAAAAAACAAACATTGTACACGTACGTGAATGCATGCTCAGTTGGACCAAAGGTTTATGAATTACTTATTATTTAGGAAGTTTTTAAGTATATTTAAACAAATAAAAGAGTAGAAATAGAATATTTAATTTCAAGCAAGTGGGAAAATTATGGCTTTACACCAAGTTGTGTACTGCAAATGTGCCGTTCTTTTTTGCCACTTATTTATCTTCTTCAAATCAACACATGTTTTACAAACAATTTTTGTTTCCTCAGCCCTTGAAGGTGACGTGCGATTAGTCGATGATCCCAATCCTCTTCAAGGTCGTGTGCAAGTATTTCACAATGGACAGTGGGGTACTATTTGTAACAATATGTGGAGTGACGAAGATGCAACTGTAGTCTGTAAGATGTTAGGGTTCCCAGGACTTGGTAGAGCCATTTCGTCGTTAAACAAGCCTCGAGGTGTTGGAATAATCTGGCTTGACAACGTACAATGCACAGGAGGAGAGAGTAACCTTATACAGTGTCGCAAGAATCCATGGGGACGCCACCAATGTTTGCATTCCCAAGATTCCTGGGTTGCGTGCTCAAACGGTAGGGAAATAGCATAGCGCACAGTTTGAAAATGACATTAGCCACCGTGTATCAGTCCTGCCAAATTCTTGGGGTGATGTTACGTCATAGCCGCTATGGTGGTTGACGATAACAAAGCATTTCTTATTAGCTTCTATTATTAGATCAACCAACATGGCGGCTGTTTCATTGCTATTGTATCTGAAGGGATATTGAATCATGTGTTGCAAATACAAATAATATATATGTATATAAATTTGATTGATTGATTGATTGATGGATTGATCGATGTATTTATTTATTTATGTATTTATTTATCTATCTGTTTGTTTGTTTGTTTGTTTGTTTGTTTATTTATTTATTTATCTAATTTTATTTTTTCTATTGCCCAGGCACGATTGACAACGAATGCATCAGGTATAAGATATTAAACAGCAAAGACAGAGCTAAAACATTCGCGGGTCAAGTAAATCAGTGCGACAGAAAAAGTGGTATAATTCCTGGACAGTGGCATCGTTTTATGGGACCTGCTGGAGATCGAATGCCTTCGTCTTGTGTTCCTGAAAACAGATGTGGTACACGAGCGTCAGGCTGGTTGAATGGAGGTAAATTATTCTCTCTCTCTTTTCATATCTCCATCTTTCCTTCTCTCTCTTTATCTATCTATTTCCTTTCCCTCTCCTTCGCTCTTTCTCTAATCCTCTCCTTGTCTTCTTTTCGCTTGTTTTCACCAACCTTGGGATTCTAAAAACAACTTGAAATTCCATTTATTTCAGGCAATCCAACGGTCAGCGAAGAAATGGTTTCCAGAACAGTTTGTTTTAGTTATTTCGGTGATTGCTGTAGATGGTCCACTTCCATCCGAGTGAAGAACTGTTCAGGATTCTTAGTCTATGAGCTCAATAAACCACCATCTTGTAATCTTCGATATTGTGGCCAAGGTATAGCTTGATGCAACTATTTTGCGGTAATGATGATAATAATAATAGTTTTGCTCCTTGACGTTCACTTTATGGACATGCACTTAGCGGGAGAGGGATTAGATCCACTGGATTTGTGATGCAGGAATCTGGCCTAGCCAGTAATAATATACCAAGTCTATGAATTTGCCGCCGAGGTAAAATTTGTAATTTTCAATTATTTTTTCTTGGCAGGTGTCTTCGTACCAACGCCAATACCAACAACACCAAAACCTACTCGACCTACTCCAAGTAAGATTGTTTACTAATGTGTATAAAAAATGGTCCAAGCCCCCTTAATTAAAGGGACTCTGAGGTATCAGACAGATCAACCACTTCTTCTAGCTCACTTTCCTCGCTCACACTTTCATCGGGAGTATTATATTCTTCTCTTCAAGCAATTTCCGACTCACATTGATAAAGAACAGCCATACTTCAACAGCAAAATTTGTATGATTCAACTCCAGTTATCCAACAAGTTCCACTATCATCCCAAGCCATCAAATCCGCGATATTCCACAGGGAGCCCAGCTTAAATCATTTCGCAACTTTGACGGACGATATCACCT